GACGATTTGTCCTGGGTTCAATTCCTCCAACCTTCCACTCACTGGATTTGTTCTCAGTTGCTCCTAGTTCAACTCCTTGGCTGCACTCTGAAAATAGCCAACTGGTCTGCCTCCTGCCAGTGGGGATTTTCAAGCACTTAGTTAGTCTACATTGTGGCTGAAAAGCCCCTATGGGTAAGCTTCAATTAATGTATTTATTATTATTTTATTCTATCATTTTCTTATAGACAGTCCTATATGACTGGATTGTCCCTGAAATAATAGCCCAAAGAATTACCTTTGGCTTTTTCAAGGCAAGTCCTGGTACTCATCCTTTCATATGATTTTAAGTTTTCATTCACACGTGAGTTTAACTAATTTTCATTCGAATGGTTGAGCACCAGGCCTCGATTTGAAAAAGAGGCCAAAGGTAATTCAGAAATGGCATATTCACCCCATCTGCATGCACAGTGCAATGGTTGCCATCCATCTTCTGTTCTGGCCTGAACATCAGCTCCTCTTTGTAAGAGAACTTTAACTACGTTCAAGTGTCCATTGTAACAAGCTCTGTGGAGCGGTGAATAACCGTCACTATCCCTACAGTTAATAAGAGATCGGTCTTGGTCTAATATCTTCTCTACGTGATCAACCATTCCATTTTCAGCACACTCAAGAAGAACCTCAGGTACCGGTGTAAGCTCCCGCTCCTATTTTTCTTCTTCGATTTTTGGTAAAGTGTTTGGAGGATTAGCTTCTTGTTCTTCTTCAACGGAGATCCTTGATGCGGGAAGGAAATCTATAACTTCAGGCTTTTCAGCTTTCACTTGGTTTTCCCCTAAGTTTTTGGCGTGACGAATATCTTCCTCGAGGGATGAATCTAGGGACGAAAACTCATTTGCCATCGTCAAGTTCTCGAGCAGTCAAATCAAACCACGAAAATTTTGCTGTATTATGTTGTTAATCTGTAAGTAGTCTACTACATTTTTCGAATTTTCACCTTTCCTTCACGATTATACTTCACTTCTTACCCTCTTCCACCATGTTGAAATCCCCACAATGCCTTGCGCACCAACACGGCGAACAACGCCTGGCAGAAGTTGAGTGTTCGGGGAAACAAATTTATCAACAAAACATTCGCTTTGTTTTCAGCTTTTTCGTTGATAATCTGTCCGCTCAAAAGCACGAGCATTGAACTGTTATGTCTATAATTCTGCTTTATTTTCCAATTTTTAGCATATTTTTCCTTTTCGGCCATCAGGAAAGCATTCCTGCTGGCCATTTGGAGCCGTTAGGTTCGCACCGACCGCCAGAAGGAAAGATAAAGTCGATGGATTTTATTCCAAGTCCTGAAGATTTCTACAAAGATTACGCATCAATAAGCCAACCAGTGATTTTCAAGGGAGCTGCAAAATTGTCTCCTGGATTTAGCCTGTGGACTGATAATTACATACGGTAAGATTTAAAAACTTTAAAACTTTTGAAAACTTAAACTTCTTATGCCAAACTATGTATGAAGTTTATTTGTTGAAGCTGGTCCTTATTAGATAATTTTTGACCTTTTCAAATTAAATATTGAAGATAACCCGCCACGCACCTGGAACAGGTGACTTCAAAAATCTTTAATATAAGAGGGATGCTGGATTTACATGGGATTAGGTGGTACAGTGAAGGATTCGTGAGATTTGAAGGCCTTATTATACAGTCTACCATTTACTATGTGTGTAATATTAAGCATTAATAAAGAGAGACACATAAGTAATCTTATGTTCATGGTGCAGCTTCTCGTTGAAAAAAGAATACAGTAAATTATTAGTCAAAATTTAAGTGCTCAACAAGATGTCAATTGATATCACAGTTGATTTATACACAAATCGCACCATTTTTGCTATAAATTGCATCGTTTTACACTTGACTGAGTTTTTGACACCTGATGTCAAAGTCTTTCTGTTTCGCAAACAAAATAAGATGTAAAAGCGTTTCCGGTTTCTCATTTTATTTAAAAACTGGCTCAGTACTGCATCAATAAAAATTATTTGAATTGACCAAGTCCTGTATTTGGGCGATTTCAAAATGGATGTAATAAAGTGGTAATTGCATGAACCTGATCATGTCGTGCAATTTTGGTCTGAAAGCATACTTGTGTTTTCATATCGAGCTTGTTCTGCGCACTTGTTCGATTTTGAAATCACATGTATGATTTCAGCCCAAATTGCACTCCACTCAGTTCATTTACCATTATAAATCGCACCAATTAGAGCCAATCAGATAACAGGGACCACCAGTGATTTCAAAATGGATGTAATATAATCAAAATTGACATTCAGAGCTAAAATTTCATAGATTTATATACCATGCAAGGCTGCAAATAACTAATGAGCAGTCACCGGTCATGTTGTCTGGTCAAACATGCTTTTGTTCGGACACTACCCGTTTTTGGCCGGTCAAATTTTAGCAGTTGGAACTCTTAGGATAATGAACCCAGATTGCACAGTAATCCTTTAACAACTAAAAAACAACTTAATCCAAGTCGGTCTGGCAATAAAAATTACAAGTCAATAATTTTACTACTCTTTACTGCAGAAGCAGCCTTGCATTGAGTACGTGGAACGGTTATGCAAGATACAACCGCAATTGTCGGTTTTACTTAACATCTGGCAAAATCACTTATAATTAAATATTACACTTGGAGCCCTTTTTTTTAAAGTTACAGTTGTGAATTTTTGTTAGAGTAAAAGAGTGGTCGGATTCTCCAGGTTTTGGACCTTTTGCTCGCTTTTTGCACTTTGCAACAAATGCTACTTGGAGTATTCTCGATGCAGCAAGATTATTCTTCATGAGGGTGCTTTCCGATCATTCAATCAATCAAACAGTCAATCACTTTATTTAAGAGTAAATGATGGTATCTAGCCAAAGGTAAAACCCTCTACTAACTGGGAACACTTAAATAAAGTAAATAAAATAACGGAAGACACGATGATTTGCGGTCGCGACAGGACTTGATGACATCGCGGAAATTTGCGACTGCCGGGAATTTCTCGACCACTAATTTGTCTACTTTTATATTGGTTTTTTTTTTCTTTTGGAAACATGANCTGATAAGGAATGTTATTTTTAGATTTATTTAATAAACTGACATTTGACAACCTCAGAAGCATCACTTACAGGACTACTCTAATACCCAGAAAATCAGACCATAGTATCAAATGAGTACTCCAGGGTAGTTCAAGTAGCACTTGAAAATTTAAATAATGATCACTTAACTTTGAAAACATAAGTTAGTGATTTATTATTATTCAACAGCTTAGAGTGTCCACCAAGAATATCTACAAAAAGATATCTTTATCTGTGTTTAGTTTTGTTTTAGAGAGTGAGATATTTTTTTATGTTTGTGTGTTGTTTATTTTTTGTGTGTCTCCTTACCCTTGTATTTTAATTTATTTCATGTATATTAATTGGCTTAATAAAGTAAATGGTTTGAACCTGGGGGTAACATGTGAAAGTGTAATGTGATTGGGTGATTGGATTGGGTGAGTGTAGTCCTGAGAAGGACGGTTGATGGTGGTGGTGACTGACATTTTGACAACTTGTGTGGAAGTCATCATCAGAGCCAAGTCCTTGACTCTGATGATGACTTCTGCATTAGGTTGTCAAAACGTCAGTCACCACTACCAACAACAGTCCTTCTCAGGTCACTTCACTCACCCGGATGATCACACAACACTTTCATGTATACTGGCTTCTTCTGTGTAATTTTGTTTAAACTTATTAGTTGTTTTTAGAAGTCCATACTATGAGTCCACAATTAAATGCAACTTGTTATTTTGCATTTATTTGGGTGCAATAAATGAGCTTATTGTTGTTCACGGTACTTGTTGTTCAGGACTTGCTTAAGTGTAATCACTAAGAATTCAAAGTAGTGTGTTATTGTTAATGTTCAGTATATTTAGGGTGATTTTTTATTTTTCAGGAACAAGTATGGTAGTCTAACTGTTAGAGTGGATTATGGTAAAAAAGAAAACAGAAACAGACCTGCTGATGATCTAACACTTTCTGAATTCTTGGCAATCTACAATGACTCAGACAGATACCTGGTGGATACTCTTCCTAAAGAAATGTGGGATGAGTTTTTCCTTCCAAACTGCCTGTTGTGTGGGGGATTTACTACCAGACTTCAAGTAAGTAGTGAATACCATTCTCTTGTCAAACTGGCTCAACTCCCTTGTAGGCTCAACTCCCTTGTAGGCTCAACTCCCTTGTAGGCTCAACTCCCTTGTAGGCTCAACTCCCTTGTAGGCTCAACTCCCTTGTAGGCTCAACTCCCTTGTAGGCTCAACTCCCNACTCTTTATCGTGACCTGAAATAGAAAAATATGAAATGAAACTGGTTTGAAAAACTGAAACCTGGACAAAATTTGAACCAAATCTTTTTTTTTTTTTTTTTCTTGTTTTGCATTTTAGGATGCAGTAATGTGGTTCAACAGTGGAGGTTCAAAGTCTTTTCTTCACATGGATACTGTAGATAATGTTAACTGTATGATCAGTGGAGTAAAAGAGTGGTTCATAGTTGACCTGGTAAGAATTTGATGTAAACAAATTGCGGGCAAATGATTGCTGCAGTCATTTGCCTGTGTGCAGGTATTAATTTGAGATCGGCGAGTTCTTTACCCTTTTTCTTCCAGATGTCATTTTATTTTACTGTAATTCTCCTTGCTGTCTGCCTTTCAATTCTTAGTTTGGAGAATTTGGTATTAGATCAACTGAAAATTCCCTGATTGATATTTTTTCCTTCTTCTCATTACTTATGTCTGCTTGATATTGTATAATATTGTAAGGAGAAATTCTGTTTTGGTCACTCATGGAGGTTTAAGGGTTAAAGTATTCTGAATGAGTATTAAAGGTGAGGACCTGAAAGCCTCTAGTGAGGCAATGGGAGATGGAAGGGAGAATGACCAACTAGTGGTTGGGTAGAGGTTAGGGTTTTGTTTTCTTTCAGATTCCCTGCTTTGTCATTACTTTATTCTCTCTGACTTTCCCTTGATCTTACTCCTGACAAATAAGGTGGTATATCAAAACTCAATCAGAAATTGTAGAGAACTCCCTCATCAGAATATATATATCAGCTAAAGATGCATAACTAGAGCATGCAGCTTTTGGTTTTGGTACCTCTCGTCACCCTATTGGTTTAAAAGTATTGTTCTTTATGACTTTTTTCTTACAGTACTGGCCAGGGGGGAATGAGTTCTAGGGGAAACATGTGAGGCCTCTTTTGGACACTCCCTCACAAAAAATGATGATATTGAATGGTTTTAATAGGCCAATTATCATAGAATCCTGCGACCTCTTTTCAAAACTGGTGTTCAGTATGCCTGCGTGAAGCCTTTGGAATTAAAGTAAATTTTTCTTCACCTCCTTTTCTTCCCCCAACCTATTTTTGTGGAAAAGGTTTTTCTTTTGATCTTACTTCATAAGTTGGGATTTTGAAACTCAAAAGTGGCCAATTATTTCTGGCTTATGTTTTTAATAGCAATTTTTAATAAGTAATTGTTTGTCTATTTGAAACTTTCAGGAACACAGCAAATTAATTGACATGAACCATGAAGAGGGTGATTACTGCAGTGTTAATGTTGATCAAGTAGACATGTTCAAATATCCTAGTCTGCAAAATCTTCCATGGTGGTCAGCACGTTTGGAGCCTGGGGACTGTCTTTTTATACCATATGGGTGAGAAGTTTCTCTCATATCGTGATACTGAACTTTTAGATGTGTACGCTGAGCTCTGTTCTAGATACTTTTAAATGGTTGGCCTAAATAGGTATTTTTCCTCAAACAGGGTATAGGTTTTGGGATCTTGCATCTATTATACGGGGACAAACAATATTACTGATTGGCTTCTTGAACATGGAGTGTTTCTAGACCATGAGGGCCCAGTTGTAGAAAGGGTGAATGACGCTGTCCAGTGGATAAGGGACTGCAAAACATGCTGTGTTAATTAATTCCACTGAATAAAGATTTATCTGTTAGATAGGGTTATCCAACCTTCGCACAACTGGGGCCTAAAGTTTTCAATAGGGTGTTAGTATTGTAAGGCATAGTCTAAATGGGAAATTCAATTAATGTTTCTTAATCCTATTCCTAATCAACTTTTTAACCTGAAAATTATATGTGACATGACAAGGTTTTTTTTTATATGTCACTTGACAAAGCTTTCAATAGGGAGTTAGTATTGCAAGGCATGGTCTAATTGGGAAATTCTATTAATCTTTCTTAATCCTATTCCTAATCAACTTTTTAACCTGAAAATTGTGACATGACAAGGTTTTTTTTTATACGTGACTTGACAAAGTTTTCAATAGGGTGTTAGTATTGTAAGGCATGGTCTAAATGTGAAATTCTATTAATCTTTCTTAATCCTATTCCCAATCAACTTTTTAACCTAAAAATTATATGTGACATGACAAGGTTTTTTTTTTTATATGTGACTTGACAAAGTTTTCAACAGGGTGTTAGTGTTGCAAGGCATGGTCTAAATGTGAAATTCTATTCTTTA